CCTTTTTGCACTGATTTCTTCCCATCTTTGTGCATTTATCTACCTGTGGTCTTTGTGGATGGGGTCTCTGAGTGGATTCCTTTTTGTTGAATATGAAGTTATTTCCTTCTGTTTTTTAGTTTTCCTTCTAACAGTCAGGCACCTCTGCTGTAGGACTGCTGGAGGTCCACTCCAGACCCTACTTGCCTGAGGATCACCTGCAGTGGCTGCAGAACAATAAGGGTTGCTGCCAGTTTCTTCTTCTGCTTTCTTTGTCCCAGCATACCCACCAGATGTCAACCTGAGCTCTACTTTATGAGGTGTCTCGTTGGATGTATGGGGGTAGGGGAGCTGCTTGAGGAGACAGTCTGTCCCTTATAGGAGCTCAGGTGTTGAGCTGTGAATTCCATTGTTCCTTTCAAAGCTGCTAGGCAAGTATGTTTAAGTCTGCTGCAGCAGAACTCATAACTGCCTTTTTTTCCTCAGGTGCTCTGTCCTGGGAAGGTGGGGCTTTATTTGTAAGTTATGAGGTGCAGCTTCCTTTTTTCAGAGATGCCCTGCCCATCAAGGAGGTAGCCTAGTCACAGTCTGCCTGTAGAAGCATTGCTGAGCTGCCATGGGCTCTGCCCAGCTGCTGTGTGAATTCCCTTGCAGTATTGTTTATAGAGGTATAGTTAGTACTGCCTCATTAATGGCAGTATGCCTCAGTAATGGAGGACTGCCTCTGTACTGGCAGTCTGCCTCAGTAATGGCAGATTGCCTCAGTAATGGTGGATTGCCTCGGTAATGGTGGACTGCCTCACTAATTGTGAACTGCCTCTGTAATGTTGGACTGCCTCAGTTGTGGTGTGTGGATGGCCTCGGTAATGGCAGTCACCCTTCCCCCCACAGAACTGGACCATCCTGGGTCCAGCTGTGCTTGCTGTGAAACTCTCTAGCCAGAGTGTTTCAGATTGCTGGTCTTTGTGGGGGTGGGACCGGCTGAACCAGATCACCTGGCTTCCTGTTTCAGCCCCCTTTTTTTCAGTTCAATGGGCAACTCTCTCTCCCAGGTGTTCCAGGCACCAGTTGAAACAGCCACCCAGATTTGTGTGAGTTTTGTGTGGAGACCTGCTGTGCCAGCTGAAACAGCTGTGCTGGAAACTCGTGGTGCTTTTCCACCTGGGAATCACCTGCTCTGTAGGCAGTAAAAACTCATTTGGAAATGCAGTGATCACTCACTGTCTGCATTCTCGCTGGGAACTACACTCCAGAGATGTTCCTATTTGGCCATCTTGGATCTTTCCTCAAGCCTGTCTCTCAGCATGAAGAGAAGGGCAGTTGGTCTTCTGGCTTCTTGAAGACTGGCCTGTCCTGGAAATCCCCCCTGGCCACGGCCTGCCAGGCTGAGGATCAAGTCTTCTGGGAAAGGGACTTGTCAGCCTCTGGGACAGGCTTGAAAGGCCCAATATTTATTTTTAAGGCCAAAATATTTTCCAGGTTTAGAAAAAATAAGGAGACAAAAGTAAATAAATAAAGGTCCCCAAATACCACTGAGAAGAAAGTGTAGGCAGCAAATCAGTTCCTGAATGAAAGAAGGAATGAACATGAACTGAGGGAATTTAAAAAATGGCTTCACAGTGTCACTTAAGCCACTCTGGTGGAATGTACAGTCATGGTTTAGAATAAATTTTGTACCCAAGGAAATGTCTGGAAGTCATTCTTCAGATCTTTATTAAATGGATAAATGAATAAGACAGGAAATGAATAAATTAGAAAATAGCATCAATCATAAGAAAAAAGAATAGGATCTGAGATCAGGGCTTAGGATTAATTTACCAAAAGCTGTGTCGAGTATATTCCATCAATAAATATGCACCTGCTTTGTAATAGGCAATATGGAGGATGATGAGTACACACTCTAGGAAATGGAATGGATTAATCAAGTAATTGTAAATGATGATAAACGCTATGAAGGAAAATTCTTACACTTTCCAAGAGTATTAGTTTGTTCTCTCACTGCTGTCAAGAAATACCAAAGCCTGGGTCATTTATAAAGAAAAGAGGTTTAATTGACTCACAGTTCCCCATGGCAGGGGAGGCCTCAGGAAACTTACAATCATGATGGAAGGCATCTCTTCACACGGCAGCAGGAGAGAGAATGAGTGCTGAGCAAAGGGAAAGCCCCTTATAAAATCATCAGCTCTCATTAGAACTTACTCACTATCACAAGAACAGCATGAGGGAAACCACTCCTGTGATGTAATTATCTCCACCTGGTCCTACACTTGACACCTGGAGATTATTACAAGGTGAGATTTCTGTGGAGACACAGAGCCAAACAGCATCACATGGCTACTGAGCAATATGGTGTGATGCAAATAAGACAGCAGGGAAACAGGATCTCATTTTGTGCCCAGGTATATTCTCATTAAGCAAGTGTTGCTGTGGTTGCCTTTTATAACTACAAGTACTTATAAACACAAATTTAAGAAGAATTATTTGTTCAAAGAAGACTAAATTTTTCCTTCAGGGTATTCAATGGTGCTCTGACTACCTAGAGTGTTTAGGTGGGCAAATACTTAAGTGGTGTGCCATTATTTTTTCTTATTATGATAAGAATGCTTAACATGAATGCTATTCTACTAAAAAAAATTTTAATGTATAATACAGTATTGTTAACTATAGGTACAATGTTGTACAGTAGTTTTCTAGAACGTTTTCCTCTTGCATAACTGAAGCTTTATACCTATTGATTAGCAGTGCCGACATCATTTAAGTGACATTCATGAATAGACCAAGAAAGTAATTTTGATACCATGGTTATATCTTTGTCTGTTGCCTAACACAGTGCTGGAAATTTCTATAAGTAGTTGCTTCTTTAAATCAAGAGATTATTTCCCATGTATATTTCTTAAACCTGTTACTCGAAGAGCAAAATACAGGAAGGGGAATGAAAGTTATAAGTTCGGGAAATGCTGAGTCAAAAAAAAGTCATGCAGTTTTCTTTTCTGCTGGTCTTCCTAGAGCCTTTAATAGGCTGGCATCTTTGTAAATTCCCACGAGTGTGTTTCTCAGAATTAATAACCACAAAATCCTTTTCTTACAGAGGCCCTCTAGGTACCGGTTTGCTGTGAAATGCCCTTTTGGAAATTCAGGAAATGCAAATGGCTTGGTCTGGGATAGAGGCTGGAATAAGGGTGACATATAACCCGTTGATATTCGTAATCGCTATAGTAAATTCAATTATCAAATTAATCACCCTTCTAGAAACACTCTAGAAAGATACATGTCATAAGAAGCATGGAGAAAAAGTCCGGGTAGTGGGGGAGGTTTCAGTACAGTCTCAGTCCTGGAGTGTCCACACGAGGCACCAGAGCTGAGGCTGTGAAAGAGTCTGGGGGAGATGACAGGGATGTGAGACCAACGCTCAAGCAGAGCCTCCACGGCAGGTCTCACTCTTCTTTAACTCAAGTTGAACGTTGACCCAACTTCCAATGCACAAATTCTTCTTCCCTTTATCATGTTGCTTGTTCTTCTAACCACGTGGATGACATGAAACAGGTAAAAAGGTCACTGAAAGTGAGCAATTTACTCCTTCCAGATTGACTCCATTCTCCTCTCTTAAATTTTAAGCAGTCTCACCCCAAATAATCCAAGACCTTGGACAAGAGTACAAATATGGGTTCACATACCCTAAGTCTAATTATGTAAAAATTAGACATTAAACTAAAACCTGTTATATATAATATACTCTATGTTTTTATCTAGACAAATATACCTTCATGACCCCTAGGTGGCCAGGTTCAAGTTTCTATGTGACTACCCAGGAGGTCTACACTGACCACTGACCCAGGAGCACAGGGCTCTGGGGCCCTCTTCTTCCACCTGCAGCTCCATATTGAACACTGAAGTGTCTCCTACACAAAGGCGTATGCACCTGAGCTCACCCATCTGAGCTCTGTCTACACTCTACAAACTCCGCCCTATAGAGCTATGGTGCACCCATGGCCGTAAGATCTTCTGCCAGGAGGACAACCCTGGGAATAGGCCTAGCAGGCCCTGGAAGAGCACTAAGCTCTTTGTCCAGGAAACTCCAGGGAACCCAGAGGACGATGCACACTCTGTACAGGCACACAGCCATGACCCGATCTTCCTTGCCCTGTGAAAAAGGGCACAGCTGGAGGAGGGCCACAGCTAGGCTGGTCTCAGGTAGAGCCTAAGAAGCACTGGGAATTGAGAATAATTCCTGTAAGAAAAACACACTTTAAACAGCTGCAGTCTGCAGCTACCCTCAGACTCTGGGGAGGGGAAAAAGAAGAAGCAGAAGAAAAAGAAGAGGGTTTTTCCTATTTGAATTTAACTACTTCTGAAAGCCTCTAGTCAGCTTTTCTTCTTGTTTTCCAAGGTAAGATTACTTCCCCTCTGGCATTAAAAGAGAAACTGGATCAGTTGTGCGGAAAACCAAAAAAGATGTATTCTATCAACTTGAAACTTGTCCCAAGGCTTTCTCTCACACTGTGTTAAATAATAGGTCCTCTTAATTGAATTTCTTTGTGTGTAGCATATGCTGGGTGACATTATGCCAGCATCTTGCTCTAAGCAGCAAAACGTTCTTTATAAAAGCATTAAGATCCAGAATATCACTCTGGATGTAGGGAAGGGACACAGAACTGCAGCAGCCTGAAAGCATATAAAATCAGTGCCTCCGAAATGTGATTGTAAAAATACACTGTAATAAACCAGGAGGGAAATATTTGGAATTATACGATGAAACCTAAAGAAGAATAGGAAGACAAGGAGAGAGGAAGATGAGAGGGTAGATGGGTGAAGAGAGATGAAAGCTGTGTAGTGCAATGCAGTCTGCAAAATCAAAGCAATGATGACTTCCATTTCCTAGCATTCCATCTACAAGCTGACTTATATATTCATTTCTCCTCGACAGCCACCATCCTACAGAGGTGGGATTATAAATGGATGTGTTGTGAACCAGGCCAATAACTATGTCTGTAATAACACGTGCTTGTGTTCTTTATCCCAAGGATCCTGGAGCTTCAGCAGAATGGTGACATGGACCTCCTGAAGCACAAATGGTGGCCTAAGAATGGCCAGTGTGATCTGTACTCCTCAGTGGACACAAAGCAGAAAGGAGGCGCCCTGGACATAAAGAGCTTTGCAGGAGTTTTTTGTATCCTGGCTGCCGGAATTGTCCTCTCCTGCTTCATAGCCATGCTGGAGACGTGGTGGAACAAGAGGAAAGGCTCCCGGGTTCCATCAAAAGAGGTACTTGATTGAGAGCTTTGGCTCTAAATTGAATCAACAAGCAGGCTGCATTTCCAGGGAGGATGATCCCAGGGAGGGGGTGGTCCTTGTTTCTTCTTTCTTTGAGGATTAGAAATGAAGCTGTGAAATATAAATATTGGTAAGGTCAATATCAATTTCCATTTTAGGATATCCCCGGTCAGTGGAGAAGACTGTAGTGTTTCGAAGACTGAGAATTTCATGTACCACAATGGGCTTTGAAATTCTCCCAGATCTCATAATTTTAAGTCAATGATTTTTAAAAGCCATGATTCCTTTGACCAGTTCACAGAGATACTTACCATTTTATTCCACGTAGTTTTTTGACTTGTAAGTAAGTTCCTCATGTATCTGAGACTAGCCCTCCAAAGATACAATACTATAACAAAAATGATCGGAATTTTCTCTTCACCACTAGTGACTGCCTCCTTCTGTATACATTTAGATCTATAGAAGCTCTTCGATGGCCCCAAGCTTATCAAATCCAAAATCTACATCATAGAAACATCCACAATTCAATTTTTCTCCTTTACTCTGGAGTCAGCTTAACTTCAGGGCCATATTAAATTTTATCTCAATATCTGAAAGAGTAATTACAGAATTACACATATCTCTTTTATAGTGATCTGAGCCTTGTTTTCATCATGAAGTATGAGACTTATAAATTAAGGAAAATCTGAAGTTAAATATTGATTCATTTATCTTATTTCCTTTGAATCAAAGGGGTGAAAATGTTTTAACTAATGAAGTCATATTTACTAAAGCTTCACAAATTGAAATAAAAACCAATCTGAATTTGCCCAATGATTTGATGTTGATGGATAGTTTCAAAGAAAGTTTTAAACTTTCTATAACTAGAACTTGGCTGACTAACTGATACCTGAGGTGAATGCTAAAAGGATCTACCTTAATGCACAATAAATATAATTTCTTATCTGCATATGAATTGTTGCATGTTAATATATTCTTTCAAACAGAGTGATTTCAAAAGTAATGTAAAGATTCCTTTTTATCACCTTATATGCAAAATTGATCAGCATCATTTTTAAGGAAAACCTTGACTCTAGCAAAGATGAATTTTAGCTTCCTACCTGTGTGAATGATCATATATTCTGAATACATAGAGGACGAATTACAAATTAATCCATTCTTATTGTAGCATTTTCTTTGTGAAATAAGCTTCTGGTATCTCTGTTGACATTGATTCAATGCAAAAGACCACATTAATGCAACATCATAGTTAAGACTTCATATTTTTAAAAATCTCGAAAGTAAGGATTCCCCAAGCCCCTTATATTTTGAATTACTATATATGACATTAAAATTTTGCATTATTATATTTGTTGATGGATGACTACATTACAGTTGCTGTGGGAACCATGAAATTACATCTCAATCCTCTAAAGTCTCAGTGATAATATTGCATTAATGGATATTTTTTATTGAGTTTTGAAATGAGAAGGGAGAAGAAAAAACAGTGATGCACGTCAAAATACTTTTCACTGAGGAACACGATAATAGCACGATGAAAAAAATACATACTCCATTCTAACTAGTGACAGCTAATCCAGATCCTATAAGCAGATATTTTCTCCTCATACGTTTAATAGATATTTTAAATTCTCATAAATTTAATGTATTGAGTTTGGCAATAAGACAGATAACAAGGATAATTTTATTTCTTTCCAGTTTTATTTCTCAAATATTGGGCTTTAATACTCACTTTTAGTGCAAATTATAAGAAACTTATGAATTGTTTTCAATTCCAAAATCTGAGGTTTTACTTACATTTTTGTTTATTAACTGCCTTCTTACCAAGACGCAATTAGCATAGCGTAAAGCGTCTTTGGTTTTGAAGTCAGTTAGCATAAAGCTAGCCCTAAACTAAAGCTATCACTCACGTGCCCTGACTTGAAGGAGTCCCTAAATATCTCACTGACCTCACATTATTGACTGATTCAGGTGTTAGATAAAATCCCTCAGTTAGAAATTAATTATTTTGTGTTGAGTATTGCTCTCTCTAAACAATCTTACATATCTTTGGCTTACAAGAAATAACACTTTAACAGTCACTAACACTTTAGTATGAAATAGCTTATTATATCATTTTCTTTCAAGAATGGAAATTTAAGGTTAGGAGTAAGTGGTTGAAAGGAACAAAAATTTAACTTGGAATGAGACACCCTGAAAAAGAAGGAAGCATGTATAAAGAAGAAGTAGGGGGTAGAGTTGCCAAAACCATACTTTCTATTGGTACAATTTTGCCTGGGCCTGCCTTTTATAGAATGGCAATCACCCATCAACTGCTTCCATATCTTTGTAGTTGCATGTGGCATATGATCACTTAAGAACCTTTACTGCAAGGTAAATATTTATTGTAGATAACCTTATCTCAGAATTGGTACCCCCAGAACCTAGCACAGTGCCTGGCTCATACTAGGTGCTCAATAAATATTTGTTAAATGAATAAACCCCAGAGTTCAGTTAATTACATGTTTGCTGAACTACTTTTTTTTTTTTTTTTTTTTAACCATCGAAGCTAGTACTGATGAGAACCTTATTTTCTTTTTCTTCATCTCCAGGATGACAAGGAAATTGACCTGGAGCACCTCCATAGACGTGTAAATAGCTTGTGCACAGATGACGACAGCCCCCATAAACAGTTTTCCACCTCGTCAATTGACTTGACCCCTCTGGACATTGACACTTTGCCAACACGACAAGCACTGGAGCAAATCAGTGATTTCAGGAACACTCATATTACCACAACAACCTTTATCCCAGAGCAGATCCAGACTCTTAGCCGCACACTGTCAGCTAAAGCTGCCTCTGGTTTCACTTTTGGCAACGTGCCTGAGCACCGAACTGGCCCTTTTAGGCACAGGGCACCTAATGGGGGCTTTTTCAGGAGTCCTATAAAAACAATGTCATCTATTCCTTATCAACCAACTCCTACCCTGGGGCTCAATCTGGGTAATGATCCAGACCGAGGCACCTCCATATGAGCATCAAACAAATCTCTTCACTGTTTCTTTTTTAGGACTCCCTTTGCAAGGAGCAACTGTAAAATTGTGGGACTAACATGGATGTAACGTTAAAAACAAAATCAGGATTATTAGTAACAATTCTAGTTTCTCCTCCCACCTTCTCTCTCCCCTCTCTCCTCTATTATTTTCTCTCTTTTCCCTTCCCTTCCTGTACATTTTCCTCAAATTTTTTCATTACTCAACTTGTTCCCCAAGAAGGTAGTATACTAGGATCCTATTAGTCTGCTTTTCATATACTGTACATCAAGTATAGGAAATGTGCACTGAGCATACTAAAAGCATATGCAGGATTAATTTTACATAAAGGCCTCTTCTGTAACATTTCTCTATTTTTAGAAATACAATTGCAATAACTTCAGTCTTTTTACATTCTTCTGCTGCATCCATACAATGCTCCACTGCTGTTGAGTGTCCTTTAACTGTGGACCAAAGGCAACCCCTGCAGTGTTTATAAAACAATTTGAAGACCATTCAGGCCACATAAGATGAGAATGCAATTTTGCAGGATTACAAAAAAGCCATTAATATGCCAGTCAAGACTACAGTTAAAACTTCTCTTGCACTGCAACAGTGCATATGACCTTTATGTGATTGTACAGTATTAAAAGTTTTTTCTTATGTACAGTAAACTTTATCATATGGCAGAAGCCTCTATTGTGTTAAATAAATTAGTATTTCATATATATACATATATATGCACCTATCTAATGTGTATATATATACAAAGGCGGCCATTGCTATTGCAATTCATTTAATAAAGCTTTAGTTTAAACAAAAGTATTGTATACAAGAACTATGTATAGTGCAGGGGTTCTTTTCAGTTAGAAAAGGCAGGTTGCTTTAATGTTATTCTGACTCGCATTGTTTGCCAACAGAAAATATTTTATACTTTTGTTATTAAAACATCCAGGGCAATTTAATATTTGTTCCTAGATGTAACACACTTGAATAGGTTTTGCGTTTGTTATTCAGCAGTGTATAAAGCTAACCTTGATAATTTTACTTTTAATTAATTATCTGAATGAAAAACGCTATTAGCTGAACCACATCCACAGCAGCACATAGAGCTCTAGAAGAGTTTAAACATAGATCATTGAAGGTTAAAAATCCTCTTCCAAAGCAGCAAGTCAATCAATACAATAATGATATTTAGGGAGGGGTGGGAGCCCTTCAGAAATGTTGATGTGGCCTTAAATTACTGTCATTCATTATCCTAAAGAAGAAAACAATAACCATAATGGGCTCTCAACTCAACCCCCTTTTTTTATTTAGTTCTATTTGGAGGAGTTATGTATTTTTTACATTAGTGCCGACTATATAGAAGGATGACGGCAAAACAGTGCCTCTTTGTGCACAACCCTTTTAAAGTAGCATTCTTACTTGTTAGAAATGTAGAATGAACTTTGTTTGTAATCCTTAAATTAAAATGTGGTAAGTAGGAAGCAAGAACTTATTCTGTGTTTTTACGCAGCCATACACTTACTTTAATCTAATTCATTCTGTGGCTAGGATTGATATAGGAATCAACCTATGTGATTTGCTTTAGGAGAAATTAAAAGGTATATTCTTAAGATATATTATATTTTGATGCTAATTCTGTTCTGGGGAGCATCTTGTATTGTCACTGTTTTTGTACTAAATCTTCAAATATTGTCTACTGTGTAAGGCAGAAAAATTTCTTATCATGCAAAAACCATTTTGTTTCCAGGGTAACAAGTACCTAAGTGCATGCACAACTTGTTTTCCCTTGTAACATTCATGATCTCATTTACAACTCTGATTTTAAAACAACAACAACAAAAAAATCTTTACAACAAGCTATATAGGGACATACCAGATGTTGCAGTGATTTTAGCTATCAACAAACTGTTAACCATGTACAATATTTAAAATAGGCTTATTTTGATGTACTGCCTATTATACAAACACACAAAACATTTTTTGGAGGCCTCAGTTATGAGTGACAGAGCTTTCTGTGTATAATTTGTCTAAATAATTTGTCTAATAAAAATGTTTTCTAAACTTGCTCTCATACTATTGAAGTCTTAACTGTAAGATTTGAAAATGTTTATTCTCTCACAGATTGAACTAAATCTTTCTAAAAATTTATCTTGAGTTAATTAAAGCAAAAAAAAAAAAACTAACTAAGTTTTACTGGCAGAACTATGCTAAAATGAGTGACTCTCTAAACCATTACTAAGTGATGTCCTAAACCAATGAGAGACTGCCTTTCTGCTATTTGAGACTATTTGAACCAACAATATATTTGTTTTTCTCTGTGGATGTCTCTGTGAGCACTTTTTTGAGAAAGATTTATCCTGTTTCATGTAAGCAATACAACCATTATAATAATATCAGGACGAGAGTTTGTTACATAAAAAAAGATTAAAATAAAAGAAAAGAAAATCAAGGGTAATTATTAAACTTAGGATTTATTTATTTAAAATTGCTTTGCTGGAGAACTATTCATCATGCTGAATCTATTAATCTGGGAATTAATTTAGGCTCTAAGATTATTTTTAGTAATTTTTCTGCATTTGAACAACAGTATTTAATTCTTCTAGCATTTAACACACCTAAAGGATATCTATCTGAAAATGTGTTTTGAAAACATGATTTAGTTAAAAAAAAAAAAAAAAGAAAGAAAGAAAATGGTTCTGTATTGTTCTAAAGTTCCATCCAAATAATTCTTTAAGTACTGGAACGAAGAGGAACTTTAGAGATCTACACTATTGGCCTCATTTTACAAAACAGGGAACATAAGATGCTAAGATGCTGTGATGTCTGACAACCTAAAATGTAAACTGGGTCTTCTTTTTTAAAACTCTGCCACCCTTCAATCACATCAACACAGGTCCTCATGGATTATAAATATAGTCTCCACCTGCTCCTCTCACGAAGCCTCAGCTACAAATCTCTAGGATCTTTCCTTCCTTGTTTGGGACACATACATCACCTGATTCAACTTTTACATATGGGAAAGTGAGTGCCTCAGGTTATTTACCCATGGTCATAGCTAGTGGCAAAACTAAGGTCAGTTTCCCTTTTTGTCTATGCTTGGTCCTTTGGCATATTGTTTGCCCTGGTTTGTAACACTTAGACTACCTGGCTATTTCCCTACAAGACAAAACACCTTATATCCAAGTATTTTTATTCTATTCAGATGTTTAACTTACTCCACTGGTGAATCATTAAGATATCTGGTACCATATCAGAACTTAGTCACACGTTTTGGTTTAATCATATATATGTAAAGTTGTAAGACTGACTTCTTCCTCATACCATTAAACTACAATTTGTCATGTTCATAATCATGTTATTTTTCATCTCTTTTAGTTTGGGATTGGCTGTCAACTGAATAAATACTTTTAAAAATAGACTTTGCTGAACAGTACTTTGCTTCATCAATTAAAAAAAAAATGGGAAGATCCATTTACCCTGCATGATATTTTTAAGCCACACAATTGAATAACAAATTATTACTCTTTTATAATCAGAATTTTCCAATGCTGAAATACATTCTGGATTATGAGTATAGTAAATTATGCAGGGAAGAGTTTATGTGCTGGTCAACATAGGTTTTATTCTTAAATATAAATGTCATGATGGCTGATAAAGTACAATGGACTCACTAAAATTTGGCTGCCTTTTAGGGTACTTTTCTTTCAGAAAAGAAATCTTATAGCCAACCCTCATGATCAGATATTAATAAATGGTTAACAACTATGGCCATAATTAACAGTTCAATGGATTTTGGTAGATACCCTGTCAACAAATATTTTGGAAGGCACCCTCTTATGAGGCAGCATATGTGAACTTCCCTAGGTAGAAATTACTTATCTGACACTGAAAAGTCAGGGAATAAGCTATAATTTATAGAAGATTTGATAGATGTAATTCGATTCTACTAGTGTTAACAGAGAAACTATTACGTCGAAAGCCACTGTGCTAAGCAGCTGGGCATGGCAGAAATGAATGTTTAGGATGGGTCTGGGTATGTTCTATCCCTCATCTCTTTCCTGGCTCCATATCAGCATGCAGGATACAGAGGCCGTGTTACAGAGTGAGTCACCCCAAACCAGTACAGTCCTCTTGGTTGGGTTGACTGACTACAGCAATTCATCTCAGTAGCTCACAAGCACCAGTTGAAATTGTCTTCTTTGTTCAGACCACCTCCCCAAAGACTTGGAAATTTAGAACAATTTGGCTTCATGCCAGACCAAGAAGCCAAATTTTCAGAAATGTGAAAAATTCCTATCCACAGGAAAATTACTATCTAACCCTTCATCCTTACTGATACCTGTATACCATTCAGAGACTGACTCCTACCCTGAGGTGTCCTCATCGGAATGATGTAGACCACAATAACTCCTTTTCCCCACGAATCTAATGAGTTATGATAGTTCATGCTCTGCAATGTTTCAAATTGCCTAACAGGACAAAGCGTAGTAACTCTTATACAGGCTCTTTTTGTTATTGCAGCTAAAACTCCATGCTACCTTTCCTGTCATCTAAGACAGTATGGCACATAAACCCAATGAATGTAAAGTATCCTTCGGGTTGCCCACCATGATGATGGCCGCCCACTCACTCGTACCTCCAGGAGACTAGAAACCTCATGATTTTGCTTCATTTTATACAGCTGCACAGAGGCATGAAACAGATGAAGCACATAATGATTCAGCCTACAGCTGGGATAGAAACAGATAAAAGAACTCTCTCTCATATCTTAACCTGAATTTTTCAAATTCCCATTCATTTGCTTTGTTTCCATGTAATATTAATGACAAAACAAAAATTGTTCAAATTTGAGAATTTTTTTTCATATCTAAGGGCTCTATCTTGACTTCATATTATATACAATTTAGGACTCAGTGATATCTTTTGACTAATTTTGTATCCTAGTTCCTAGAATATCTTCAGGATGAAGAGAAACTAGCTATGCTATTTGAACACATTACTGACCTAACCAGCATAGACATAGCTTGTCTAGTCTTCATGAGAAAGGAGGACCCGGTTTTCTGTTGGAGAAACCCCAAAAGTGACACATTTTCAACAGTCTCAAACTATTCGTGATGTGACCAAAAACTCACAAAATTTTCAGGACATTAATTCTCATTAACTAAAAACTAAGCTTTCATAACAGCTGCTTTACAAGAAGAAGCATGTGTCACAAAAACAAAGAATGATGCAATGTCAGAACCAGAGAAGGGATGACAAACATTGCTTTTAATAAATAATTTTGCCAGTTACAAGATTTGAAATATGAGTAGAAGGCAAACTTTAATTTTAAGTTATTACATTTTATTATTAAATTGGTGCAACTGAAAAAGTTTAGGAATTAAGTAGCCTACTTAAGTAGATGTTTTTAATTTTTAAAAATTGGACATCAATATTATTTTTAAATACACATAGATACATATATGCAAAGATAATCCATAATTTTCTGAATTTGAGAAATAAACAAATACAGTTGGATATTCACTATGCAAAAGATAAATAATAGAAGGACTTGAAGATTTAGTTCTTTTGATATGTAATAAAGTAAGATTCAATTTACAAAAATTCAAGTTATCTAAAGCTTTCAGGATCACAGCTATTTCCTGGAGGCAAGGGTATCAGTATTTTCTACTAGGTAAATAAGTGTCTGATAGTTAATATTTAATTATTTTCCAAAATTGTATCAAAGTTAACTTTAAAATTAAATGCTAACCCTCTATTAATATCGTTTACAAAAGTTGTCTATAAGATTTATTGCTAGAAATAAAAGCACACTAAAATAAAGCTAAAAATAAAGTTCCATATGTTCGGCCTATCTCATTTGACTTTTTGGGGGGATAGTTGGCAGGGGAGACAGAGTCTCACTCTGTCACCCAGGCTGTAGTGCAGTGGTATGATCTTGGCTCCCTGGAACCTTCGTCTCCCAGGCTCAAGCAAATTTTCGTGCCTCAGCCTCCCGAGTAACTGGGATTACAGGCATGTGCCACCATGCCCAGCTAATTTTTGTTATTTTTAATCGAGACAGGGTTTCACCATGTTAGTCAGGCTGACCTTCAACTCTGGACCTCAAGTGATCTGCTCACCTCAGCCTCCCAAAGTGTTGAGATTACAGGCATGAGCCACCATGCTCAGCCTTATCTCATTTAACTTTTTAGTGCTAGAAATAGTAACTGAATAAGTATTCTCTAGACACTGCTTTTTAAAAAATCTTTTAACATACCTGACTGACATAGTTGACATGAGGTATGTATACAAAACTCTCTTCACACATAATGTTTTTTAATGAGTACAATTTTTGTCCAAATTAACATATTAAGAGTTAAAATTTTAAAAAACCAAGCAGTGCAACAACATATACACATAATTGGGACTCTCAGGTTTTTATTCTGCATGACTAAACATTTTTAAGCTTACTTTTCACTCAGATTTCTCCATGAAAAGATCATAGTAAAAATGACGTGTGAAAACACCGCTCATATGTACAGCCTCCAAGGTTATTGATGTGTCCAATGGTTCAATCACCAATCATGAATATTTTTAATCAGGTCTTTCTCATCATCATTAATTGAAGTTTTAGATTCCTACTTCATCATCATCATTTTATGTCTCTTTCTCTTTTTTTCTTTTATGAGTTTAATACCTATACAGAAACTTTAGCAAGGCTTCAGGGAGAATATTGGAAACAAAACAATCACATAAGATTGATCAGTCCACCGACAAATACTTCCTGAGCACCTACTATTAGCACGGCACCCTAGGGCAGAGTTCTCCTAACTTATGTACCAAGGCACGTGCCTGGGCCAGCAATGCTGCCAGTGTACTGAAGCTTCGATCTTCTCCTTTCCGCAGGGTGGCCAGGGAGGTGAGGGTGACTGGGCTGAAATTCTGCCTGTGAGCAGCTCTTCTACCCAGCTTCTCCTGAGAGAGCCTCCAAAGTTGGAGAAACAAAATATAAACATTTGAAAAGTGAAATAAAAACTCATCGTATAAATAACATCAGAAGACATGAATATAAATTACACCATGTTGCAG